TTGGATTAACTATATATGTGTTGGTAGTTTGTGAACGTACTTCCATGTTTTGCTCTGAGTTGTTGTTTGGTTATAGATAAGACAGCCGATGCAGGCAATGGGGATTACCGGCACACTTGGTACAGTATCTGCAATGCGGCCTCTCCATCAGTTGAGGCCTCCTGCACAACCTCAAAGACCTCAGGCTAGCTCAAGTAGCACGTCTCCCGCTGGGCAGGTTAGATATACTTGTGCTGTTAAGGATTCATCTTCCAAGAGAAAAAGAACTTAAGTGGTCAATGTTCACGTCGTTTATGATTTTAAAAATTGATTCAGAATTAGTAGTGGCTTCGTGTTCTCTGAGGGTAGGAATTGACGTATTTTCTATGATAAGTTTGGAATTCTGTTGATCTGTTCCATGCATTTAGAATATTATGGCTGCTTCTAATTACACGTGACATGGTTTGTAAAGAGCTAAATCTGAAGAAGTTGTTTTCGTGATCATTCTTGAAAATGTGAAGCATAAAAGCACATTAAAAATTACAGCAGGCCAGTTTACAGTGGCCACTTTCAGTTGGGATTGCCAGAGTGAATAACAATAATTTCTTGTTATTGTTACTGTTAGGTTTGGATTTGAAAGAAACCACCAACTCTAACAAGTGGTTCCTTTCCGTATTACTTTAGTGCCATTTAGAGTGTGACATCTTGCATTCGAGATGATTGGTTTTGAATTCTATGTACATGGCTGCCCTGCTCTATCGTGATATGATGCCGCTTTCAACTCTTATGCTTGTATAAAATGGATTTTCTGTTCATTTATTACGTTATCCTGTATAGATTATTTGTACAAGTCACTGTATGTTTCAGTTACATGAGGTTTTCTTGTTGTGTACTAACTTGAACATTTATCAACACAAAAAATCTTGTTACCTACAGGATTCATTACTCTTGTGTGGACATGGCAGTGTGCTTTAATGTATTTTTCTTGATGCTAGTGCTCAACACATAGAAATATTTCTCACAAGCAGTAAATTTGATGTTTCCTTATTGATTGATGCCACTTTTATTAGAATTTCCAAGGACACAGCATGCACAGGGCTCCCTCACTAGGATCCTCTGGGTCATCTCCTAGTAGTTCTCAAACTCAGTCCCAGACTCAACCGTGGTTATCTTCTGGAACTCAAGGCAAACCTCCATTGCCACCCCCTAGTTTTCGGCCACAAGCGGGTCCCCAGTCATTCCAGCCAAGGTCCATCACCCAGCAACTTCAGAATAACATGTCTACCTCCTCACAGCAGCAGGTAATCGGCTCAAACCAACAGTCACCACAACCCTCAGCCTCAGGCCAGCCACAGGACCATTTTAGCCCCCAAATCCCGACTTCCAGGACTCAACAGTCTTTGCCTCATCAACAACAGGTGTCAAGGGGCCCAGGATCAGGAATCCAAAGGCCCCCTATTGGCTTGACCCAACCTGGGACATCACATTCTGGCGCCCCTAGCAAAACAATGAGTGTCGACACAGACGAGTCTTCGAATAGAATCCTGAGCAAGAGAAGCATTCAGGAAATTGTGAACCAGGTTTTGATTTTTTGTCAATTTCTATAGAATATTCTGGTTAATTACGTCTCTTTTCTATTAAAGAAGCTTGACCACACTAGACTAGGTTTCCTAAGGTTGCTTGTCCAAAGTATTTTGTTTATTTCTGGTGGAAGTGGCTGAAATTTTACAGACATTGTGTTAGGCTTTTGATTAATTTAAAAATGCATATATAATTAATTGGTCCTGTAGGTGGAAAATTGAATTTGTTAAAGGGACGTGATTGTCTTTTGTGAGCTAGATTGTATTATTGACCTAGCTATTGTGTATGAAAATTTCGTGATTTATGTGTTTGACTCTCCTTCATTTTATCAGATTGATCCATCTGAAAAGTTAGATCCTGAGGTTGAAGACATTCTTGTCGACTTTGCTGAAGATTTTGTGGAATCAGTAAGTTTTAGTAATCTCATAATTTTATTTGTGTATTACAGATGAGTGACTACAATATGAGTTCCTTCATGTTTTTAAGTTATTGTGTAGCATAAATAAATGGGTGAAACTTTAAATATGTTAACAAAAAAAAAAGTTTTCTGTACCATACATATCTTACACAAAACTTCCAAACCAACTGATACACCATTGTTGATTCTTGATATATGAATGTTAATCTTCCTGCATAAGCATGTATACCATATTTTTTTTTTAATGTTTGTTGGAAGTAGAAACTAAAAGGGTTTATCATTTTGTAAGACGGCTACTTTGGCTGAGGAACATATTTTTTTCCTCTTTCCTTTTTCTTGTCCTCTCTATTACATTTGTAAAACTTTTGAATGCTTTGTAAATATGTTCCACATATTACACAACAAATTTGAATGGAAATTGTACCACTATATATTGTGTTTTCTTTGTTTAATTCTGTGCATTAATAACGTGGATTTGTTGCAATGTCAAGTCATTTGGCTGGTAATCTTTTTGGTTTGTCTCAAGCATATTCTTGTTCACCCGTTGCATTATGCTTTTAATTACCTCGCCAGATAACAACATTTGGATGTTCGTTGGCCAAGCATAGAAAATCTACCACTTTGGAAGCAAAGGACATCATGCTACATCTTGGTTAGTTTCTATGAGTTTCTTTTGTCAGTCATGCAAATATATAGATCTTACACCTTTTTTTTATGTCCTTGGATTCAGAAAGAAACTGGAACATGACTCTTCCTGGGTTTGGGGGAGATGAGATTAAGCTGTACAAAAAACCAGTAAGTGTTTCCTGTCTTCTTTTACTTCAAGAGTGCAAAACTTATCATCATTTTGCTCACTTGTTTCTTGTGTGTTTTCCAGACAGTAAGTGAGATTCACAGAGAAAGGCTTGCTGCTGTAAGTTATTTATTCTTCAGTTCACCTTACGCATAAAATCACATGTTCGTTCTAAATATTATTACAACAATGGACCATTTCCTCAAGCCTCGTTTTTACCAGCTGTTCCTTCTCTTCTGCAGATAAAGAAGTCAATTTTGACCACTGAAATGACGAGTAAAACTCCTGCCGGACCGCCTGGTGCTTCTTCCAAAAGTCATCTTGCGAAAGGACCTTCTGGTAATATCGGTGCCCCTTCAAATCCAAAAATCCGTGAAGCTACATGAGGCACCTCATGAAGGCAGTTATTTTTCAGGTAATGTTTTTCTTTCCTGCCTGTCTTTGGTGTGAACTGAAGTAAAAGACCTGAAACATAAATGCACATATTTATGTATGTGTATGTGTGGAAGTGGCTATATTGGCAAGTATTTGGTTGTGTTTTTATATATTATGTGATGAATTAGACTTCGTTGAAACTAGTGCACATATTCATACACGGATAAAATGAGTGTGGTTTATGCTTGTGTTCATGGTTTTCTTGGTTTCTTGCAATCTGTGATCAGAGTCTTCTTATTAATATATTGTGATGTTATGGTCAGTCCTATCCCTTTATAGTTCTCTACTCATTTCTTGATGCAGGTCAACTTTGAAAGCAGGTGAGAAGAAAAGAGAGACAAATATGTGATGTCGAATCTAACAAGAAGTATTTTAAGCATGTGCATGAATACAAATGATCTATGGAGATGGAAAATCTTGGTGTTGAGTGCTAGTGGGCTATGTTTTTTCCATGTTTTCGACCGAATACCGTAGAAATGAATCATGTGCTTTCAATGGGGTGAATGTGCACTTCTTATTTGATCTGCTACTGAATCCAATTTGCTAAAATGGTTTTAAACACTCCAAATGAGGTTTTAATCGTATGGGTGTTTTGAGTTACAAAAGGAAAATACGGGCTTCAGGATCCACTGGACGCTTTTGTCGTGTTCGAGAGTAGTGAATCTAATTTGGTGACTACTTTTGGCCACGACACTGTGCTCGCCTCTTTTTCCGGCGAGATCCAGAAAATGTATCTTATTTTGGTCTCTTTGTCCAAATTGTTTTAGTTATTGCACAAGCCCTTGGGGAGGGTCAGTTCATATATTAGATTGTTGCAAAGGATTTTTTGCATTCAGATATCATAATAACCAGAATGAATATTGAATTTTTTACGGAAAAAAAAAAAAGAAAAGTGGTGGACAAAAGAAAAAAAGAAAAAAGAGGTGGAAAAAATCAAAAGCCCGTATTCCTTGAATACGACTTTTGAAAAAACTATTTGGAAAACGTATTTAGTGAATACGTTTTCCTTTGTAAAAAAAATGTGAAAAACGTATTCAGTGAATACGTTTTTTAATAAAATTATACAGAAAACGTATTCAAGGAATACGTGT